GTACCAGCCATGTGCCCTGACCTCTGAGCAAAATCCAGCCCTCTCTGGCTTGTTTCTTGCTTTGCTTTTTGGTCTTGCAATGATTCTATTACATTTGTCACTCAATCAACTCTGGTGGTCAATCCTTCAGCAGTTTAGCCACTTCCTGGTTGTCTCCCAAACCAACATGATGCGGGCACGGGGCAGATGCAGTCAGAGTTGCTGGATTGCACAGGCCAAAGGAGCTGTGTCTGCACTGCTTAGAAAACATCAGAGACACCTGGAACTCTAGAAGGACCGGGTCAGAGTGATAGTGTTTGCTTTGCACATGGCCAACCCAGGTTAGATCCCGGCATCCCATATGGTCCCCTGAGCATTGCCAGAAGTGATTCCTGAGTGCAGAGCCAGGAGTAAGCCCTGAGCACAGCTGAGTGTGGCCCTCAAAAAAGAAGGAACTGGATTCACATCTTCCTCCCCTTCTCACTGACATTGTGTGTGTGTGTGTGTGTGTGTGTGTGTGTGTGTGTGTGTGTGTGTGGCGGGGGGGGGGGGAGGGGAGGGAAGGGCAAGGGAGGATGGTTGGGCCAAACCCAGCAGTGCTTAAGCTTCACTCCTGGCTCTGTGCTCAGGGATCACTTCTGTTTGTCCTTGGGGGACCATAGGGGGTGGCAGGATCAAAGTGGGGTCAGCTTTATGTGAGGCAAGAAAGTGCCTTAACCCCTGCACTATCTCTCTGGTCCTTCCCACTAACTGTGAGCGCTCCAAAGAGCCTGCCCTGCTTCAAGGCCCTCAGCCCCAGGCAGCCCTTCCTTGAAAGTCCCGCTCCTCCTTAGAGCACACTCCCTCTGCCAAAGACTCTCCTTTCACCCACACCTTGTCTGTTCTGGGTGAAAGGAGAACAGCTCACTGCCCTGTTCCCGGGTTCAGTGGTCAGCTTGTCTGCGCCCTCCCAGGGACTAAATCATTCACGTTCATTCCCCACCCCGTTTTGTTTGAGAAATTTTCTAGCATATCCTGTGCAGGGTCTCATGGGGTCTCATCCCAGAGAATGCAAGGAGTGAACCCATAAATGCGCCCAACTGAAAAAGAGAGAAAGACGCAGAGCACAGTGGCTGGGAAACCAACATGAAGGAGATGCAGCTGCCCCGACAGCTCTCCCAGAGAGTCCCCTTGGAGTCTTTTGGTTTTGGTTTGATTTTTGGTTTTTGTTATCTGCATGCAGAGATCCCTCTCCTGGTGTGGGAAGCATCTATCCATCCATCCATCCATTCATCTACTATCTATCTATCTATCTATCTATCTATCTATCTATCTATATTTTAAAGTTTTTGCGTCATGCCCAGCAAAGCTCAGGGGTTATTCCTGGCTCTGTGCTCAGGAATCACTCCTGGTTGGTGCTTGGGGAGTCCATATGGGATGGTTGGCAATCAAACTTGGGTTGGCCATGTGCAAGGCAAGCACTATCCCTGCTGTACTCTCTCTCTCTCTCTCTCTAGCCCTAACCTTTTAAAAAATTCTCTCTCCAACAAAAGGCAATGCCCTGCCACAGAGGCAGGGTGGGATGGAGGGGATGGGGAGTGGGAGGGATACTGGGACCCATGGTGGTGGAAAATGGGCACTGGTGGAGGGATGGGTATTTGATCATTATATAATTGAAACCCAAACACAAAAAATTGTAAGTCTATAACTGTACCTCATGGTGTTTCACTAATAAAAATTAAAAAAAAAAAGTTCTCTCTCCAGCCCTAGGTGCTGTTGTGATGGCATAGGTGGGTGTGGAGCCTGTGCCAGAGTCTCACATCTCACATCTCACTAGGTGCTATTTCCTGCTGGGCCAATGTTTGGTGCATGTGGGGATGTGTTGAAGATCAAAATCAGCCTCCGCGGGGCTAGAGAGATAGCACAGCTGGTAGGGCATTTGCCTTGCACTTGGCCGACCTGGGTTTGATTCCCAGCATCCCATATGGTTCCCTGAGTCCAGCCAGGAGTAACTCCTGAGTGCAGAGCCAGGAGTAACCCTGTGCATCGCCAGGGGTGACCCAAAAAAGCAAAATAAAAAAACAAAACAAAAAACAAAAACAAAAAATTAGCCCCCACTGGTGAGGCAGGCTCTGCATTAACCCACTAGTCCAGACCTCAGGCTCTGTTTCGTTTGTTTGTTTGTTTGTTTGCTTTGCCGGGGGTGGGGCTGGGGACAGGCCAGGGGGTTGGGTTTGGGGCTCTACCTAGTGCTCAGGGATCACCCTGGGTAGTGCTGGAGATTGAGCTTTTATCTTCCACTGGCTAGGTTAGTGCCCACCCACACACTCTCTCTCCACGTGTGAGGCGAATGTTCCGGCCCTGCCCCCCAAACTGGGCCACACCCTCTCGACCACCCTCACTGGGCTTTTTTTTTCGGGGGGGGGGGCACACCCAGCAATGCCCAAGGGTTTGCACTCAGAAACCACACCTGGAGGTGCTCCGGGGACCATATAGGATGTGGCGGATATAACATGAGGCTGCCCTGTGCAAGGCGAGCACCCTCTCTGCTGTACTATCACTTTGGCACTGTGGGAAGGCCATAGACCTTCAATTAAACTGGGGCACAGACCACAAATGTATGAGGCCCTGGGTTCTGTTCGTGTCCCCACCAAAAAATGAAATGAAACAAAACAGAATAAGGGACAGAAAAATAGTTCAAGTGGTAGAGCACCAGACTAGCATTTGTAGACCCAAGATTCATTGCTGGAATTGCATGTACCTCCACACCTGGGGTCCTTCAAGTTCTGTCAGGAGTGATCCTCAGTCAGAGGAGACAGGAGTATGCCCTGAGCACCAGCAGGTGTGACAGGAAGGAAGGAAGGAAGGAAAGAAGGAAGAAAGGAAGGAAGGAAGGAAGGAAGGAAGGAAGGAAGGAAGGGAGGGAGGGAGGGAGGGAGGGAGGGAAGGAGGTCGGGAGGGAGGGAAGGAAGGCAGAGAGGAGACAGAGATCCTACACACACACACACACACACACACACACACACACACACTCAAATCCGGATTACAGTTGTTAAAGACACACTGGCACCTACTTTTGGCTCCAGTGATTGTCTTCCCCTCAACCCACAACCCACCCAAGAACTAGAATGAAGGAGCTGATTATTTCAGCAAGCCCTGGCAGATGCTAAAGCAGCCATTTGTCCATACATGGCTTGGGCACTTGGTTCTGGGGACACTGCGTCACTAGAGGGGCGGGAGGGAATCTGCAGGCCCCTCCTCTTTCCTGACTCAGTTCAGCACCCATATAAAGGGCCTTGGAGCCGATGATTAAATTGAGAATTAGCATCAACTAGCCTGAATACTGCAATGAGCACTCAGAGGGCAGCTAAGTTCATCTAAGTTTGAGAGCGGGAATCACAGGCAAAGCGACAGGCCCCTCACAGGTAGCCCTGTGAGTGATGTTGGGTGTGGAGCTTTTTGGGTCCTACAAGAAGACAGGGGCCTAGAGCAACACTAGCGAGGCAGGGCACTTGCCTTACATGCTGCTGATCGAGGCTCTATCCCTGGCACTACGGATGATCTCCAGAGCCACACCAGGAGTGATCACTGAGCACAGTCAGAAGTAAGCCCTGAAGACTGCTGGATTCCCCCTCCCCATCCCCCCAAAAAAGACAAAAAGGCTGCAATGAGAGGCTGCAATGATAGTACAGTGGGCAAGGCATGCAGCCTTGCATGCAGCCCACCCAGGTTTGAACCCCAGCACTCTGAGCCTGTCAGGAATAATCTCTGAGTGCAGAGGCAGGTCTAAGCCCTGAGTACTGCAGATTGTGAAATGAGCCCCTGGGCATGTGCTCAGTGTCATGAGACTCTCTCCCACCTGTCTTCTTACCGGCAGTATTTTCTTAGGTGGATATCTGGCAGTTTTGGTGCCCCATGTTCAGATGGAAGGAGATGGTACACAGTCACCTGGGATGACCCTCATTTCACAGAGACTCCCACTGAAGCTCAGAGAAAGTGAGCGAACACAGTTTCCAGGAGAACCAGAAATCAAGTTAAACTCACCCTGACTCACCCTGCCAGGGGCGATCCCTTCCTACCATGGAAACTCACAGGAGGAGCGCCATTCCCAAGCTGTGTGAGGGACTGAGGCCTAATCGGCCTGATTGTGCTGCTGGGAGAGCCCTGAGGATGACTGGAGGGTCCTAGTGGCCCCGACTGGCTCAGTTATCTCTGGTGAAAGTGAAGTGCCCAGAACCTAAAGGATCCCTAACCAGCAGCTAATAGGGAGGCCTTTGGAGAGGGCCCAGGAGTGGGGTCCCAGAGGGCAGAGGGAGCAAGCTCAGGAAAAAGGCAGAGCAGAGGTGGGAGAGACCACAGCAGGCAGGGTGCTTGCCTCTCTGGGACTCACCTGGATTTAATCCTGACACCCTGCTCCTCACCAGGAGTGATTCCTAAGCCCTGTCTGTGCACTGCTGGTGTGCAACCCCCGCCCCTCCCCCCCAAAAAAAGGGAGAATAAAAAACACCAGGGCAGTCTGGAAGAGCCAAGGTGGGCTTTCCTTTGGAAAGAGAGGACAGTTCTATAGAACGTCTAGCGTCCCACTCTCTATCCAGCACTGCCCAGTCACGCGTCCCTGGCGCCCTCGACCAGTACAAGGTCGTCCCAGGGGCGGGGGTGGGGGTGGGGGGGACCCAGCTCAGGACAGATGAGGGCCTGAGTCCGAGTTCGAGTTCCAGCACGGGAAGGCAAAGCAGAACTCCTCTCTGGAGCTCACAGCCTTCTCCAGCCCAGTGGGAGTCGGTGGCGAGTGCGGCGGGACGGAGCGTCCCGGGGCAGCACCCAGAGCGCGCTGCCCGCGGCGGCCCCACTGGCCGGCTGGTGGCCAGTGTCCCAGGGGCGCGGGGCGCAGGGCAGCGGCGGGGTGGGGCAGGATAAAACCTGGGGCGCCTGGGACCGTGTCCCCCCACCCCCGCTCGGCGGGCCTGGAATCCCGGGGGCGCGGCCGGGGGGCGCGGCGCGCTGCTATTGGCCGCGGGGCGGGCCGAGGGTGGGCGCGCCAAGGGGTCCCGGCGCCCAGAGCCGCGCCCCAGGCACAGCCGGCGGCGCCATGAGGGAGATCGTGCACATCCAGGCGGGCCAGTGCGGGAACCAGATCGGAACCAAGGTGGGCCGCGCGGGGCCGGGCCGGGCGGGCGGGGGCGCGGGGCGCGGGGCGGAACGGGGCCCGGGTCTCTGAGCGCCCCCCGGCCCTGCCCTCTGTCGCCCCCAGTTCTGGGAGGTGATCAGCGATGAGCACGGGATTGACCCGGCCGGAGGCTACGTCGGGGAGTCGGCGCTGCAGCTGGAGCGGATCAGCGTCTACTACAGCGAGTCGTCTTGTAAGTAGGGTCCCCCGCGTCTCTGCTGCTCTCGGGGGTCCCGCGGGGCGCCCACCCCTCCCGCGCCCGCTCCCCCCGGGCGGGACGTCCGCCCTCGGCCGGTTTCCAAGCAGCTGCTCCGGAGCCAGAAAGTCCTTAACGCCCGGAGCCGACTGAGTGAGTGGGAGGCGCCGCCCGCCTCCCTCCACCCGGGATTTGAAAATGCGGCTCTTAATAGAAGTTCTTTGGGGAGAAGTATTGCAGAGCACTCCGTTCGGAGGCGCCTCCTCTGGCCTGGGTTAGCCCACCAAGGAGACGTTATGCCCCTGGAAGCTGAAAAGTACAGACACTTTCACTGACGGAATCCAGAAAAGTTGCCGGGCTGTGGTTTATCCACATTTGGGAATAATATTACCCCTGCCCGGATATCTGCCTCTACAATACAGTTACTATGGATATGTTCTTTTGGTAACAATTTTTTATTATCCATTCTACTCAAAAAACAATCCCCCCCCCCACACACACACAGCACACACAACACCAAAAATAAACCCCTAACGGGGCCAGAATGATAGTACAACGTGTAGGGCGCTTGCCTTGTACACTTCAGCCGCATTGTATCCCTGAGTACCACCAGGAGTGATCTCTGAGTACAGAGACGGGAGTAACTCCTGAGCATAGGCAAGTGTGTCCCCAAACCAAATACCAAACAAACAAAAACTACCATTGAGAGACATCCAGAATGTGGCAGAAACCTGGGATCGAGTCACTCTCAGTTCTTTGGAATCATGCCACTTGATCACGTAAGAACTGGGAAAGCAGGAGAGATCTGTTAGCGATTTTTATCCATGTAGCAGCTATTCCAGAAAGTCCGAAACTGCAGGACCTTAAAGACAAACTTCATAGAGAGCACGGTAGAAAGTCCTGTTATACATGCAGGCACCGTACTTGCTAAACTACTCTCCAGCTGGGTTCCTTCCTGCAAACTGCATTTACATGTAGCAGGACAGGAATGAATATTAGAGCCTTCCCATGTTCTATCACATGAAGCCCATCCTCACTGGGAACAGTTTCTTGTTCCCTTGGCAGGGAAAGGCGCTGACAAATGAAAACTGCTCCCCCACACTCCTGCCAAGACGGTGGGGTGTGTGTGTGTGAAGGAGCAGAAAGAATGTCACAGCCTCACTGGAGTTTGCCCCAACACATAGCACTTATTGCCCTGGAGCTAGCACTTCCTGGCAGGAAAGAGGGGTTGGGTGAGCTGGAAAATGCAGGCACAGGAAGTCAGGAGACCTCTTCCCATCCTGCCCTCGCTGCACTTCCTCTGTGGCAGGCTGGGGCTGGTTTCCTCAGCTGCAGGGATTATGAGGGCAGCTAGATTCTCAGAGGCCCCTCCCTGCTTGGTTTTGTGATTCTGAGAATGCTGCCTACCCCCATAGTCTCTGCAGCTCCAGCCGCTGGGAATTGTTACAGTAAGTCCATTATTCTCCAAGCCCAAGGTAACCCTGGTGGGTGGCCTGTGTTCTCTTCCAGCTCAGAAATATGTGCCCAGGGCGGCCCTCGTGGACCTGGAGCCAGGCACCATGGACAGTGTACGCTCTGGGCCTTTTGGTCAACTCTTCCGGCCAGACAACTTTATTTTCGGTAGGTTCCATCTTCCCTACGCCCGTCTCTTTCCTTTCCGAACATCTGCCTCATGTGGTGCCAGATTAAAAGCATCGTGTGGAGGGGCTGGAGCGGTAGCACAGAGTAGAGTGATGCTTTACACAAGGTCAGCATGGGTTCAAGCCCAGCACCGCATCCCCAAGCCCACCCTGAGCACAGAGCCGGGAGTCAGCCATGAGCACTGCCAGGGGATGTGACCCCAAAGCAAAACAACAAAATCATAACTGCCCCTAACGCCCTGCAAACTGCTAGAGAAGATTCTCTGATAGTGTGACTGGCCCGTGTCACCCTATAGGCAGGATTCTGAGAGTCAAAGTTACTGCGAAATATATAAGTGGAATCAGAATTAGAATCCCTTCCGTTTTGTTTTGCATTTTGCACCACACCCTTCAGTGCTCAGGGCTTACTCCTATCAGGGCTCAGGGGACCATATGGGGGACTGAACCCAGGTCGCTAAGGCAAGTACCTGACTTGATATTGGATGGCACTCCACTATCTCTCTGGTCCCAGAGTCAGAATCTAAAAAGATTTTCATGCTACAGAAATTAGTTACCATGTCACACAGTGTCACCAAGATCATTCATGACACTCAAGATCCATGAGATCCTCAGGAAGATGCTAATGATTTCCCCCCCTGCCTCATCTTCCCATGGCCCACACAGAATGGCAGGGAAGGGGCAGTTTCTGATAACCTGTTGCAGTGTTTTGTCACCTTTGGCACCTCACAGAGACTAGGTCCAGACTCGCTGGTGTCCCTTTTCTCACACCTGAAAATCTAAATTCCTTATAGATGTCCTCCATTTTCTGATAAAATTCAGCTTGTCCATGATGAAACCACAACAAAATCAACTTCTGTGTGAGATGGAGTAGAAAGACTTTATTTAATGATTATGTACCAAACCTAGTACATAGCAAGCTTATTGGCAAAACATTAGAAGGATGTGCCCTATTCAGTTATAAGATGGGGTTGGAACAATAGTATAGTGGGAAGGGCATTTGCCTTGCAAGCAGCTGACCTGTGTTAGATCCCTGACATCCGATATAGTCCCCCTATGTGCTGCCAGGAGGAACTTTTGAGTGCAGAGCCAGCAGTAACCCCTGAGCATCGCCGGGTGTGGCCCAAAAACAAAAATAAGAAAAAGACAGCCATTTTCTTTTTCAGTATTTCTTGTTCCTAAGTTTCTATTTGATACAAAGAACAAAAGAAAGAGAGATGAGTCACTTGAAGAAAAAAGGGCAATCTGCAGAGATTCTCTTGGACTTTCCAGATAGGCCCTCAGCTGAACAGCTCTGAGATGACCTCAGTAAAGCAGCAGCCAGTCATGAGATTAAAACGCAGACACTGGAGCTGGGAAAACAGTCAGGGTCTAAGGTCCATGATCTGCATCCACGACTACATTACCAGCACGTTGTAGTCCCCTGAACACCACAGGGTTTGGGGAGCACTGCAACCAGTGACCCCCCTCCTCCTCTCCCACACACACAAGTTTCCTAAGCACCGCTTGGGAGCACCTCCCACCTCACCAAAGAAAACCCAGAACATTGAGCCAGGTTGGCTTAGAGGACTGAGCACATGGTTTATGCGAAACATATTGACCCTGTGGTTGAATCCCAGCACCATACGGTCCCTTGAGCACTGCTGTGTGGCCCCTGGCTGTGGCCCAGACACAAACCAAAAAATACAGTATCCTCCACAAACCCTGACATTATTACTGCTGAGTGACCAACAGTCCTGATTTGTTATGTGGGTCTGACTGGGTACTTGTTTTTTAAGGATACTAGACTTTCCCAGTTATACTTGATATAATTGTTGTAATTGATAACATAAAAATTATAATGGCAATGCATGTGGCCAACCCCAGCACCACATACAGTAACCCTGAGCCCTGCCAAGAATGATCCCTGAGTGTAGAGCCAGGGTCAAGCTCTGGGTACCATTAGATGTGACCAAAAGTCATAATGGCTAAATAATCTATTCGTAATAGTAATTAAACAAAATTTAGTAATTCAAAGTTAATTAAAAGAATAAAATATATGGACCTGAAGTAATATAAGGACATTGGTAGAGGATCTTGGACACTTGGGTGATAATGAAATCCAATAACTACATGAAAACCTTCAACATTGGGTTCCTGGAGTGATAGTAGTGCGGGTAGGTGTCTGCCTTACATACAGGTTTACAGGTGACCCAGGTTCTATCAGCACACCACTGGGAGTGATTCCTGAGTGCAGAGCCAGGAGCAAGTCCTGAATACTGCCAGGTGTGGTCCCAAAAAGAGAGAGAGAGAGAGAGAGAGAGAGAGAGAGAGAGAGAGAGAGAGAGAGAGAGAGAGAGAGACTGTATGGTTTTAAAAGTGAAAGTTACCTGCATTTGTACTTTTGAGTACAAGAGCAGAGCCTTAAACTTAAGGCTCCCTCCTTCCCTGGGGAAATGGGAGGTAGAGCAGGGGGTGCTGAAAAAACTGGGGAGCTGCCGCAGGAGCCCCACTGCCAAAGGCCAGAGACTGGCGCCCGTGTTCCAGAAGTTTCTGCGCTGATTAATGCACTGACGTTTTATCACAGAAGATGTCCAACTCATGACCCCAAATATTTAAGCAGGCACAGACGTTGCTATGAGACAGAGGCAAAATATTTTCAGGAGTCACCAGCTTCCTTTTTTTGTCAGAAGCAGAGGGAAGCGCATGGCTAATGGTGCTCTGAGTGTGGAGGGGCTGAAGGAGCCTGTGGGCTGGAAGCGCTGGAGTTTGATCTATAGCGTTTCCTACTGCCACTTACATTCAACTGCTGGTTGCAACAAAATGAATTAGCTCCTGGCCACTGACAGTGGCACTCACAGTTCTTCCTTTGTAAGGGTGCCTTCTCCTTCCTTCCTTCATCCCCTCCTTCTCCACTCCTTCCTCTCATCCTTCCTCCATCCCTCTTTCTCCCCTATCACTCCATGCTCTCCCTCTCCTTCTCTCTTCCCTCCCTTCCCTCTCTCCCTCCCTCTGTTCCTTGTCCCTCCCTCCCCCCTCCCTCTCTCCCTCCCTCCCTCCTTTGGAGGTTCCCAAACATGATCAGGTATAGCCCTGGAGGCTCCCATCATCATGGGGCCCTAGTACTGACCTGCTAGCCTCCCTCTCTCCCTCCCTCTCTCCCTCCCTCCTTCCCTCCCTCCCCCTCCTTGTCCTCTGGCCACTCCTAGTGCTTCTCAGCCAACCAGGCTAGCAGGTCAGTACTAGGGCCCTATGATGATGGGAGCCTCCAGGGCTGTACCTGATCATGTTTGGGAACCTCCAGAGCTTCACTCAGCAACGGCTCATGGGCTCGTGTGGTACCTATACCTGGTACTATATACAGGGCAGGTGAGTAAGAGCTGAGCTGCCCTGTCAGGTGGGGCTCAGAGCACAGGGGCTGATGCTTCTGTGGACAAGGGAAGGGCTCAGGGTAGCCTATTTGGGAGCAGTTAAGCTGGGCGGGAAATGTTACTGTTTTATGTTAACCATATGTCATGTTTTCATCCCAAAGTTAAGAGTGTGAGAAATGGAAACCCCTCATCACCCCTTGAGCAAAGCTGAATGTGGTCAAACAAAACGAAACAACCAAGTTCACTTTCATAATTACCCGCTTATTGATGACATTTAAAATTATTTTCAAGGCCAGAACAATGGTACAGTGGGTAGGGCATTTGCCATGAGGCCAACCTGGGTTCAATCCCCAGCATCCTATATGGTCGTCCGGGGAATCACCAGGAGTGATCATTGAGCACAGAGCTAGGAGTAAGCCCTGTGCACCACTGGGTATAGCCCCAAAACAAAAACAAAATAAAAAGTTAAAATTAAATTATTGGAAAGGGGGGGGTGGAGTGATAGTACAGTGAGGAGGGCACTTGCTTTGCATGCTACCAACCTGGGTTTGATCCCCAGCACCCCACATAGTCCCCTGAGCACTGCCAGGAGTAATTCCTGAGTGCAGAACAAGGAGTAAGCCCTGAGCACCACCAGATGTGGCCCTCCAAAACAACAACAAAACATTTTCCCTTGAAGCCATGTTTTCACAATTTTCTCTTTACTATGATAAAGTTGTTTGTTATTATTTATTTTTTTATGGGGTAGGTGTGCACATCTAGCAGTGCTCCTGGTTCTGTGCTTAAAAGGGTCCTCTTAGGAGTGACTTCTGTGCTTAGGAGCTCTGCATGCATAAAACCTAGGTTGATCCCTCTGACCACATTTCTCTGGGAACAAAATGATGTGTCGGAATCCAACCTGTGTTGACCGCGTGCAAGGCAAGCACCTTACCTCTTGTTCCTCTCACTAGTCTGTTTCCTTTTATCTTTATATTAATTACAAACCACTCTTCAGGGAGTAGTTGTCTAAATCTCATTTTGCACATGTGTGGAAATAATCTTAGAAAAAAAATTAATAAGCAAGATTAATGGGTCTTATGTATTTATTTACATTGTTCCAATACCATAAACTTTTTTTCCTAAGGACCAGAGGTAATACAGGAGGTAATACAGTTTGTCTTGCATGCAGCCCATGTGAGTTTGAATTTCAATATAACATACTGTCCCCTGAGTAGACTGGGGTCACTCCTGAATACAGAGCTAGAAATAGCCCTAGAACACTGCCAGCATGGCCCAAATACCCTCCTACCCCTCTATCCCTGAAATAAAAAAACAAAATCTTTTAGAGAAACTTAAAAACAAACAAACCCCAAAACATTTTAGCTGCTAATTTAGGGGCCAGGTTTGTAACTCAGAGGTGAGCACAAACTCTGCATGTATAAGGCCTAGGCTTGATCCCAGTGACCACATTAAAAATAGGATTAAGGAAATAAAAATTATAATTTGATGGAAATGAACATTATAATTTAATGGAAATGAACCACATAAGCTAAGAGATAAGAACAGAAATATCAGACAGGAAGAAAATGAGCACAGTTCCTTAAAGGAGTGAGCAAAAGAGGATGAAGCCAAGTTGTGATAAGGGGTAAGCCAGGGTGACACTACAGCAAGGAGGGTGCTTGCCTTGCACGCAGCTGACCCTGGTTCAACCCTCGGCACCCTATAGATGGTCCCCTGAGCACTGCCAGAAATTATCCCTGAGCACAGAGCCAGGAGTAAGTCCTGAACACAGCCAGATATGGTCCCAAAAAAGTGTGATAAGGAAGATGAATGGGAGTCAAAATCTGACGGTCCTTGAACTTTATTATAGGAGATCTGTAATTTAGTTATTTATTTGGCTTTGGGGTCATTCCTGGAGATGCTCAGGGCTCTGCACTCAGGAATATTCTTAGAGGTGCTCAGGAGACTATATGGGATACTGGGGATCGAACCCCACTCAGCCGCATGCAAGGCAAGTGCCCTACCCATTGTACTATCTCTCCAGATGCTTGTGTATTTTTAATGTAAGGGCCCCTCCTGGCCACGGCTGGGCCCAGGTATATGCTGCACCTGCTTGCCTGCCTATGTAAGGGACCACCAAGGCTACCCTGGGTGCTGAAGGGTGGTGTTCCACACAGTGGTGGGGAGCATTTTCCAGCCCCTCTTCCTTTTCCAGCACCTCAAGCATTCGTGTTTATGAGCTGTTCATTTTAGCACTGCCCTGCTGACACTTGGCACTCTTTTCTGGGTTCTGCTCTGTTCCAGGACAAACTGGTGCAGGGAACAACTGGGCAAAAGGCCACTACACGGAGGGCGCGGAGCTGGTGGACTCCGTGCTGGACGTGGTGCGGAAGGAGTGCGAGCACTGCGATTGTCTGCAGGGCTTCCAGCTCACGCACTCGCTGGGCGGGGGCACGGGCTCGGGCATGGGCACGCTGCTCATCAGCAAGATCCGCGAGGAGTACCCCGACCGCATCATGAACACCTTCAGCGTCATGCCCTCGCCCAAGGTGTCGGACACGGTGGTGGAGCCCTACAACGCCACCCTGTCGGTGCACCAGCTGGTGGAGAACACGGACGAGACGTACTGCATCGACAACGAGGCGCTGTACGACATCTGCTTCCGCACCCTCAAGCTCACCACGCCCACCTACGGCGACCTCAACCACCTGGTGTCAGCCACCATGAGCGGTGTCACCACCTCCCTGCGCTTCCCGGGCCAGCTCAACGCCGACCTGCGCAAGCTGGCCGTGAACATGGTGCCCTTCCCGCGCCTGCACTTCTTCATGCCTGGCTTCGCCCCGCTGACCGCCAGAGGCAGCCAGCAGTACCGGGCCCTGACGGTGCCAGAACTGACCCAGCAGATGTTCGATGCCAAGAACATGATGGCCGCGTGCGACCCGCGCCACGGGCGCTACCTGACCGTGGCCACCGTCTTCCGAGGCCCCATGTCCATGAAGGAGGTGGATGAGCAGATGCTGGCCATCCAGAACAAGAACAGCAGCTACTTCGTGGAGTGGATCCCCAACAACGTGAAGGTGGCCGTGTGCGACATCCCACCCCGGGGGCTGAAGATGGCCTCCACCTTCATCGGCAACAGCACGGCCATCCAGGAGCTGTTCAAGCGCATCTCGGAGCAGTTCTCTGCCATGTTCCGCCGCAAGGCCTTCCTGCACTGGTTCACTGGCGAGGGCATGGATGAGATGGAGTTCACGGAGGCTGAGAGCAACATGAACGACCTGGTGTCCGAGTACCAGCAGTACCAGGAAGCCACAGCCAACGATGGGGAGGAAACCTTTGAGGACGACGAAGAGGAGATTCACGAATAGCAGAGAGGTGCTGTCTCGGGTGCAAGGCAGATGTTCTTTTGTTAATGCCAGTGAATCATAACCCCAATGGCTGCACACGGTGTGCTGGTCCCCCTGGGTCCAGAAAGGCCCCTCTCAGATGCAATGAAACTGTCAATCACGTGGAATGAAGAAAGTGCATCAGAGTAGCAGGTGATTGGCAGGTCTACCCAACCACAAGATTTTCTACTGGACGCCTAAGAAGAACTCATGGGCTCATGAAGGGTTATATCAGCTTCACCCTCTATTTGCCTTTGAAGCCAGGTCTGAGAGTGGGTAGGGAAGTTAGAACGTGGTTTTCATCTTTTGTGAAGAAAGAAGGATCTGTGCAGTGCTGGATAATGCAGTATTGAACTTGAGAACAGTCACTCATAATAAAACACTAAAACCCTTCCTTGGTCTCTTTCTTCCACTTTCTACTTCCATGATAGAGTTCTTTGCCTTGGTGTAATGCTCCTTGGGGTCCTTCTCTCTTCTGGGATGAAATGCCCCCTGTAGCTAAGAACTCAGAGGAATGTGTTATCTGGAATTAGAGGCACTAAAAGTGGCCTCTGATTTCTCCCAGTCATAGAAGTCAGACACATGAAGTCAGAAGACAGTACAGGGGCTAAACCATTTGCCTTGTGTGTGGCTGAATCTGGTTCATTCCCCAACACTGTCTAGCCCTGCCCTTTCCCCCCACACTCCACCACCAGGAGTGATCCCTGAGTATCACCAAGAGTGGCCCAAAACACAAACACTTGAGCACGTGTAAACAAGAGCCCCTCAACCCCATGGACAAATAGCACCTTGACCTCCCTAGCCTGGAGCCACATCCACTCTCATTTACACAATCTTAGGGAGAAATAGGCCCCAAGCCCTTTCAGGCCCCTTTGAAAATTGATAACACACCTTGTTCTGACATTCTCACCCAGCCAGCTGAGGTTTGGGGGTCTAGTGTGGGGATCAGCTGCTTGACATCTGTCTCTCCAGAGCCATTTGAGCATGGCATCTCCCTACAGTGGTCAGCTATGCAGAGACCACGAACCATTTTCCACAGATGTATGAAGACACCACCAGCTGTCAGCCTGAGGTTCAACAGCATGGTATAGAACCAGTGAAGCGCTGTCCCCCAAGGGCCCCTGGATCTTGGGAGGAGCGAGGCCTCCTTCCATGATGGGGCTTTGATGGGGCAGCACTGCCCCCTCCCACCTCAAACTGGCACCCCATGGCAACCTGGATCAGAAGCGGGAAGCCGGAGCAGGACTTATGGTAGTTACCAAGGACAGATGCCAGGGGACTTGTAGAAGCTTTTGTCCCATCACCAGGTACTGGGTGAGTGGAGCTGGGAACCTTCCCCAGATAAGCTCAGGAAGGGCAGAGTGCAGCGTGAACCCTCAGGTCAGAGTGTCTGGGTGAAGGGTGCCAGTTGCTCCAGCATATGGGCCAAGCAGTATTTACCAAGCTTTAGTGGGTTTTTGCTTCGGTCTGCCCTCAGGAGCCATGCCAGGAGTAGGACCAGTCACAAAGATATAGCATCTTCTATAACTCCTCATGGAGCCCCCTGCTGGTCTGAGCATGACATAACACTACCAGTCGGGGGCAACTCCAGCCTGTCTGCACAAGGCTGGGCCTTCTGTCCTGTGCCTCCTGCCCAGAATCCCATGAGGTCCAGATCCTGATGGTGCTGTCCCGGTGACAGGAGAGGGCAGGTGGATGAAGCCGAGGGCCACTGAACTTTGGAGCTGCCCTACCTAATATCTTCTGTTAAGCACCCAGCTCAGCTTTCTCTCCGCTCAAGTTGGTATGTTTACACCTTTCTGAAATAGCGTGGAGGGTCCCAACTCAAGATCTCCCAAGGCAGGAGCTGATCCCAGGCAGGCACTGCCCCCCACCCACCCAACACCTTGTGCTGAAAGCTCTCACCCTGGCCAACAAGGAAGCCGCAGTTTACGGACCAGGCCCCTGGTTGGATTTGTGCTGGGAGTCTCGCCCTTTTCTGACCTGGGTAGACTCCCCCATGTCAGACATACCCTTGGAGGTGCTTCCTATCTCTCCCAGAACACCTTGGGCATTATTCCCTCATTGAGACCTTATATGGGGATGGCCAGTTCTGTTCCCATGGGAGGGTAGTGTGTGTCTATACTTATCCTGGGCCCCCTTGATCAGTAGAGTCTTGTCATAATGGCCCCTTCCTGGCCCAAGACAGTAGAGCCAATACAACTATTGGGCGGGACCAAGAGATGGTACAGGAGATTGGCTGTATGTCCCTGGCATGTGCCCACCTTAGGTTTAATTCCCAGCAACACACACACACACACACACACACACACACACTTGAGTATCACCAGGTATTGTTCTGGAGGCCACCAAGCATGGCAGGGGTTGCATGCATCTGAAGGTCTCATATCGCACCTAATATATTGATGTTGCAAGATTTCTTGGCGGGCGAGTCAACCCTCCTTAAAGAAAATAATAAATAAATAAGCGTCGAGTCAACCCTCCTTAAAGAAAGTAATAAATAAATAAGCATCAGAGTCTAAACAGATGCTTACAGGAAACCACACCATGAATCACATAAAAAGTTTTTCTGCCCCCTTGGACATCTGGCAATGCCATTTAAACCAGCACATGCTACCCTAGACATCCACGCAAGAGGGTAAAAGAGAAGCATCATCTAGTGCAGGGAGCACCAGGAGCTCTAGTCTGGGATCAGGGATCAGGGCCAGGGTCCTGCACATGGCTAGGACTGATTTCTTGAATCTGGAACACAAGTGTTTTACACACACCCTAGAACAGAGACCCTCAGAATTATTTGCCCCGCCACCATTTTTTTGTTTGTTTTTCTGTTTTGTTTTTAAGATAAAAACCACTCCCTGCTGGAAATTTATCTTCTTTAATTGAACAAAGAGAAAGTCCCCTGCAATCCCAGGGTTGGTAGGACCCAGTTTAGGAAACTGGTCTAGAGACTTGGCAGTTCCACACCAAATCCAGAGGAAAAGAGCTATAACATGCTACAGAGACAGAGGAAGCATGCATGCAGGTGGCAGTACCCTGGCTTCCTAGTTCCTACACAAAGACAAGCACCAGCATTGCAGAAATCAAGTGCATATTCCTGTTGGTGGGGTAGATAAAGAAAGAGGCTACTCACATCTGTATTTATGCAGGTGTGTGGCCATCCAGAGTAGGGCAGGTTATGTCCATTCCTTCTCAGGGTAAGGCCTGTGAAATCCTTGACTCCATCTATGTTCTGTGATGAGACAGACTAATCACGTAAAATGGAGGGAAAATGCATCCCTAAGTCCCCCCATGGCCTGGGCAGAGACGAGCTCCCCACCATGGAGCTTGTCTTAGGAGCAGGGGTTTAATGAAAGGTTCTAGGCCTCAGAGCCTGTCTCCTCGTTCCAGAGGCCTTTGCTAAGCCTCTCTGTTCCCGGATGTGGAGGAGCCACACCCAGCCCTAAACTTGGAATTCAGAGCTCCCAAACCACCATCATCAGCCACATCATGCCATGCACCCTCAGGAATGGAAGCGTCTGGCACAGAAGTGCAGAAATTCCTAGACTCCTTGAGAACACCCAGAGTGAGCCTGAGGTGGGTACTCATTCCTCCTGCTCCGGGATCTGCTGCCTCTCAAATGCAGGCTTCAAAGCCAGAAGAGACGTTGGCTCAGCCTGCCCCCTGGGATGGGAATATAGAACTCCACTTCAGAGTTTGCTCACTGGGTGGTGGGTATCTCATTCAAGTGGAGCTATGTGAAGCGAGGGCAGGCCACACTCCCCACAGGATTCTCAATGATGAACAAAAATGGACAATAGGATTCTGTGTCTATTCTGTGCCTATCTTAGAAGCCTAGTGATGCGCTTAGGATGGGCGGGGATATGAACGGGCCATGCAGAGTCTTAGAGAGGGTGCTGGTAAGGTCCTATTTTTCACTCTGGGTGGGGTTGCACAGCTGGGCTTCTGGTTCTGAGAACTCAGTTATGTATTTGTTGGAATATAGCTCTAAACATTTTAGGTTTAACATTGGTTTGTCCTTCCTCCCTTGCTGCAAGGAGTTTAGGTCTATTGGTTACACCCATCACAGTGCTCCCGAGGCACTCCCATTCCTCTGTGTTTATCTTTAGCCTCTTTGTGCTCTGCCTCCCCAACCAGTTAATCACCTATATCCCCAAATCAGACCCTGTAATTCGTAAGGTTAGATTCTTCTAAGGACTCTGAATTCTGCATTTGTAAGTGAAATATTGCTTTTCTCTTTCCCTTATGTCCTTGCATAGTTTACTTTCGAGCAATGTCTTTTTTGTATAGACACAGGAAGACAATTAATACTATGCTTTTGTAACTTGGGAGTTAATTGACTCCCGATAATATTTACTCCTGAACATCTCTCATCTTTACTCAACTTAAGCCTCATTTGTCCTTAGTTCCTAACACTCCAAAAGCAGGATCCTGACGAAGGGACTGGATGGACCCAGGGCAAGTGGTAAGCTATCCTGGCAGCAAAACAAGAGTGCCAAAAAATTTACAGTAAGTTAAGAGCACGGTCATCACATGCTGAGCCACAAAACATACCTCCATAAAATTAAGAAGATACTGTATCAATGATCTTCTCAGACCATGGTATGCTGAAAATAGAAGTAAATCACACACACAAACAGAAAATCAAATCAAACACCTGAACATTAAACAGCTCACTATTGAAAAATGAGTGGCTTAGGAAGGAAATCAAAGAAGAAATCAAACGATTCCTGGAAATGAACGAAAATGAGGACACGAGTTACCAAAACTTATGAGACATGGCAAAAGCTGTGTTAAGAGGAAAGTTTATAGCTCTACAAGCATTCCTCAGGAAGAAAGAGTGAGAGCATATAAATAACCTAACCTCATAGCTTAAGAGCTTGGAGAATGACAGACAAAAGGAGCCCAATCTGAGCAGGAAGAAGGAACTAATGAAACTTAGAGCAGAAATTAACGAGATGGAAACCCAAAAACAATCTGAAAGATCAGATCAAGAGCTGTTTCTTAGAGAAAATAAACAAGATAGATAAACCTCTAGCAAGAATCACAAAGAAAGGGAGAGAGAAAAACCCTAATACACTGAATCAGAAATGAAAAGGGGAACATCACAACAAAAACTACAGAAATTCAAAGGATCCTTGGAGATTACTTTGAGAAGCTTTATGCCATGAAACAAGAAAACCTCGAGGAAATGAATAAATTTCTGGATTCCTATAGACTCCTGAGGCTGAACCAAACAGTTTCTATGAAGCAAATATCACCCTGATACCAAAAGCAGACAGAGCTACCACAAAGAAAGAGAATTACAGGCCTATATTCCTAACGAACAGAGATGCAAAGATCCTCAACAA